TTTTCAAAATTTCTAGGAGACACAGTTTAGCACATAACACTGGTCCAAGGTAGGGAAAAAGGGGATCTGGCCTGTGTGCTGTCTGTTGTAGTTACTAGTCACCACTTTCTATGAAGACTGCTCACAGTGGGGGCTTCCTCAAGGGAGAATGAGATGCTGATATGGACCCTACAGAGCCACACAAGGGTCCATGGTGCCTTCATAACAGAGATTCTTAAAGGGAGTAGCAATTCATGAAAACCCCTTCTCAGGGGCACCTGGGTGGCTCAGTCGGTTAAGCGGGTTAAGGGTCCAACTCTTTGTTTCAGCTCAGGTCATGATCCGCACAGGAGATGCAGCCCCAAGTCAGGCTCTGCACTAACAATGCAGAGTCTGCTTGGGATTTTCTCTCTCCGCCCCCCTCTGCTCCTTCCTCCCTTCTTTCTCTCAAAATAAACACACACATCCGCAACACCCTTCTTCACTTCTACTCAGTCTTCAACCAAAAGTTATCACGTTTCTGTCCCCAACACCCAGCCCTGAAATTATTCACTGAAAGGTCATGAATAGTTTCTGAATTGCCACATTGAAAGAACTTCTTGAATTTTCTATGCCACTTAATACTGTTGACTTCTCCCCGCTTCCCTGTTCTCTCTTCTGTAGCCCTTCCTACCCAATCTCCTTTGTCAGCTTTTCTTTCCACCCTGTGAAAGTTGCTGCTGTGCCAAGTTTCTCTCATGGTTTCCTCTTATGTTCTGCCCCTCCTCTCCCATCTCCTCTCCTTCCTTCCCCCACCAAAGCTCCCCTTTTTTTCTCCCACAATGCTCTGATAGTCAGAGAAATCTTACCCCTACTTTTTCTGAACCTAGGATCTCTGCATGGGCCTCCCATGGGACTTCTTAAATTATAGGGAAATGTATGTGCATACTTATTTGCATTTTTTTCTCAGCAAAAGGACTGAAGCTTTTATCAAAAGTTTAAAACATCAGCTTTGTAAACTCTGTCTTTAGTCCAGACCTGCCTCTCAGCTGAGTTCCAACCGCTTGCGTGCAATCTCCACCTAAACTCACAGCTGCCTCCAGCTCGATAATGTCAAAAGCTGAGATCATGATCTCCCCGCCCAAAGCCTGCTCCTCTTCCTCTATTCCATGTGTCCGTGAAATGTACCACCCTCTTCCTCACGCAGATCAAAAATCTGAGCATCAGCCGGACCCCTCCTTCTCTATCACCCTCATAGCCAATCCCTCGTCCAAATCCCGTCCATTCTACCTTCCTCACATCTGTCTTCCATGCTTCACTTGCATTTCCACTACCCTGATGGCTAATCTCCTATCTCTCAGCTACCCTGTTAAAATAACTTCCCAACTTTTCCTTGCACCTTCAATCTCTCTCCTCTCCGATCTATTTATTGGACTGCTATCAGGATATTTTTTAAATGTTTATTTATTTCAGAAAGAGAGAGGAAGTGAGCAGGGGAGGGGCAGAGAGACAGAGAGAATTCCAAGCAGGTTCCGGTGTGGGCCTTGATCCCACAAACCATGAGATCGTGACCTGCACCCAAACCATGACCTGAACCGACTGAGCCACCCAGGCGCCCCCAGCGTAATTGTTATAAAACGTGAACCTGATCATGTCATTCCCCAGCTTAAAATGTTGATGATTGGTATTTCATTTTATAAACATTATTCTGGTAGCCATCTAAGAAGGAATAGACCGTTCACCGTGACAAAGCCCTTCATGATCACCCAATAAATATGAATCGAGTGTATACTATGCTTCAGTTACTGCCCTAAATGCTGGGGCTACAATATAAACAACAGGGACAGCCTCCCTGAGGTCAGAGTCCTATGGCTCACAAATATTATGAGACCCACAAAGGAGAAGGGATGAAGGAGTCCTCCTAATTCAGATCACCAGGGAAGGCTTCGGCCTCCCATCTTGTACTTCTAATAGCAATCAGTAGATATGTGTCCAGATACGGAACCAATAACTTTATAGGCATTGTTTCATTTATGCTTCACAACAGCACCTTGGAGTTCGCGCCATTATCATTAGCCCGTTTTACAGATATAAAAACCGAGGCCCTAGAAGGGTTAAGTAAGAGGTGGAGTTGAGATTCTAGCGCAGACTCGTCTGAAACCCAGCGCCCTTCACCCTTTACCAGCACTTCTCCATTATGTTACTCACTAACCTTCTAGAACTGTACCCAGCCCTGCGAACGCACCAGCCTATCTCACTCCATCTTTGCTCACGCCTCTCTGTTTGCCTGAAATGCTGATTTCCCTCAAAACCCGCAATTATCTTTTGCGATCCAGTTAAAGTGTTCTCTCTTCCACATGGGCTGCTCCCACAGATGCCTTCTCTGTGCATAAACAGAATTGGGTCAACTCTCTCAATGAAGGGAGAAAAGGCAAGTGTGAGGACAAACCCTTAGGTACAAGATACCCCGAGACTATCTGTTCTTTAAAAAGATAGTATGAAGGACGCCTGGGTGGCTCAGTTGGTTAAGCGTCTGACTTCAGCTCAGGTCATGATCTCACGGTTTGTGGGTTTGAGCCCTGTGTCGGACTCTGAGCTGGGAGCTAGCCCAGAACCTGGAGCCTGCTTAGATTCTGTGTCCCTCTCTCTCTGACCCTCCCCTGCTCACTCTCTCTCTCTCTCTGAAACAGATTAAACATTTTTTTAAAGTTTAAAAAAATAAAAAGAAAGTGTGAGGGATGCCTGGGTGGCTCAGTCAGTTAAGCATCTGACTTTAGCTCAGGTCATGATCTTACAGCTCGAGAGCTCGACTCCTGCATTGGGCTCCGTGCTGACAGCTTGGATTCTGGAGCCCGCTTCTGACTCTGTCTCCCTCTCTCTCTCTCACTGCCCTTCTTCCACTCACGATCTCTCTCTCTCTAAAATAATGAAACATAAAGGAAAAATGTTTAATAAAAAAAAAAAGAAAATGTGCGTTTTATTCAAGCCCTAAAAGGAGCCCTTACAGCTTCCCCCTCAAGCTGAGGCTTGTTCAATAAGCGCTTCATGCAAACCTACGGGCCGCGCCCCCCTCTGTGCGCTCCCCTTCCTGTCCTCGGCAGCTAGCAGTTCATCCCTCCCTCCATTTGAAGACCACGGACAGAAGATGAGTCAGAGGCAAGCATGTAACTGCAAAGGAGGAAAGCTACAGTGGATGCCGGGTGCCACGGGTCACATGCCAGAAAGCCACTCTGAGAACCAGGAAGGGCAGAGCGCATGGAGGATGTCTCCCTTTTGCCTGGGAAGCCTTCCGCAGCCCGGAAGGCGCTCTCTGTGCTCAGGTTTCCCAGAAAAGCATCTGCAGTGCCCTGCAGTGCCCTGCAGCGCCGGAGCGGAGCGGCAGCTGGCTGGAGCCGCGGGAGCTTTAAGTTTTCAGATACTAAGCTGGAATTTGCAAGATGTAAATGCGGCACTTGAATGGGAGGCTCAGAACCTAGAAGGCTGCCCTGGTCCGTTTTCATTGTTGATCCTAACCAGACATCCAATCCAAGGGCCTGCGGGGGAGAGGCTGCTGCAAGAATGCGTGAAGTGGGTGGCTGGATGGGAGGGCGGCACCAATGAACTCTGCCTGGGAGCCACGCTGAACAAAAATCAAATCCTGGGAAGTGGCTTGTAATATGACTTTGGAGCGGAGGGGGCATTGGTCCAAAGCGGAGGTCCTCAGGTTCCTGGGCCCGCCCCGCCTGACTCCACCCCGTCAAGTATCACATCTGTCTGCCGTTCACCTCCTGGCCCTTCCCAAGGCTTTTATAATGAGACCCGGGCCAGGTGTCCAGGGGTCTGCTGGAGCATTGGCACCGCCAAGCAGGGCCATTTGGTTTTGTGTCTGAGACCCTGATTTAAACAAAGTGGGGAGATGGGAGGGAGGGCACAGAGGTGCCCGAGTTGGGGGTGGGGCGCACCTAAGAAAAGCAGAACAGGTCAGCAATCTTATGCCTTCCTGGGCACGGTGCCGCCACCTTCTCCAGTCAGGAGCCCTGGAATCGTGGCTACAGGCTCACATACCAGCCCAGGCCCAGGGCTCCTGGCGGCCTCTCCTCGCGCCTTCCCCTCCATTCCTCCTTTCCTGCCTTCCCTTCAACCAATCAGAGGCATTACCGCCCCCCCCCACCCCAATCCCCGGGCCCCATTCCTCCCTCACTGCCTGGGTTTCCTTTAACAGAGGGTGTGAATCTCATGGTCAAATTCACACTAAGAAGTGCATTCCAGATCCCAGAGCACATGCATTTTGAATTTTGAAAAATCCGTCGGTGCAGAGAAGCCTGGAGCGAGGGACCCTTCTAGCGGTCTGCAGATTTAAGTGATGACTTTGCATGTGTGTGCAGGTCCAGGCTGGCCGCAGACGGGTCTGGGCCAGGCAGGAGAGTGACTCATTCTGCAGTAGGACACGGGACCCCTCAATGACTGCCCTCCCTCTTGAGTCTCGTCCCCAGGGTCATGATATCTTGTTCTTGGCACGGAACAGATCCAAACCCACCAGGTGGGAGAAATATCTTGAGATTCATTGGGACGCATTCGGACAGATTCTGGGCCACTGGATGCTCAGCTGTAGACCTCTGTGGACCAAAGGGAGCCCCTCCCTCAGCTTCTGTTCCAGGCTCTTTTCCTCCTCTTCCTGCCCGGGTCATTTGTCAGAATTCAGATCCAGAAATCAGGGGCACCTGGGTAGCTCAGTCGGTTAAGCAGCTGATTTCAGCTCAGGTCATGATCTCATGGTTCATGAGTTTGAGCCCCACATTGGGCTCTGTGCTGACAGCTCAGAGCCTGGAGCCTGTTTCAGATTCTGTATTTCCCTCTCTCTCTGACCCTCCCCTGCTCATGCTGTCTCTCATTCCCAGAAATAAATAAAAAACATAAAAAAAAAAAAAAAAACAGAAATCAGATGACTTTCCGGGGAAAGGAACCTAGAGAGTAATGAACGGGGGGATGTGGGGGAGGCGATTGAGGGAAAGACTGTCTACTTCCTCTCTCCGAGTCAGCTTTGTCCTTTCAGAGCTCAGTGTCTCTGCGGTGACTTGCTCACTCTAACGTGGCAGCATGTGGCAGCTGCTGTCCCCAACGGCTCTGCTCCTTCTAGGTAAGTCAGAGTCACTCTGGCTGATGGAGAAGCTCAGGTCGCCGCAGGCCCACTTCTCAGGCCAGGGAGGGGACCCCTACCAAGAGCTAGAACCCCTTACCACACCTCTAGCGCTAGATTTAGTGCCCAGGACAAACATTTGGGGGCTAGACATGGGAACGCTCTGATGTGGGCATGACCAGGAAGTGGAGGGGGGACCTGTGAGGTCTCTGTGTCTTCTCCCTGCAGGGGTCTCAGGTTCCCTTTCTGTAGGTGAAAATGACTACAGACCAGACAGATGCTCTCTAAGTTCGGTCTCTTCCATTCTGACATTCTGGGCTTGCCCTCTAAGACGTTTAATGTCCACCCTTTATGGGGGGGGGGGGGGCTTGGCTTGAGGTTGTTTTTATGGCTTGATTCAGGGAAATCCAGACTGTACCTTATTTTGGGAGCTTGGATAGGGACTGGAGGGCAAGTAAATGGTGTTGAAGACAAGGCCTTGGCTGGAGGCACACGGGAGAAGAGAGGGCAGGCAGTGGGACGGCGAGCCACACATACGCCTCAATTCTCGGCGACGCTGGACGCCCGGGGCGGCGTTGGGCGGGGAGACCCACACCCACCCCAGCCACCCTGATCCCTGCTTCTGCTCAGTATCTGTTTCCCTCTTTTGTCTTCCAGTTTCTGCTGGCACACGAGCTGGTGAGTTGGCTTTGTGGGCTTGGATTCACGCAGTGAGGCTCACAGATGGTGTGTGATGGCCACAGGCCATTGGGAAATGTCTACTGCCTGGGAAACTGTTGGGGGTGGTCAGGGACGCTTCCCCAGGGCAGTGGGGCTTGGCCTTGGCTTCCTTGGGGCTACTTCTCCTCAAGATGAGGAGAGGCTAGAAATGGGACTAAGTGCCCGAAAGCCAAGATGCTCTAAGTCTGAATCTCAGGCCAAGGCTGAGTGGCCAGCTCTGGGTTTGCAGCAGGGCTGGCTCGGGCTCCCAGCGTCCCCGGGAAGGCCAGCGTGGGGCCTGCTCACCTCCCTGCCCTGATCCGCCTTCTCCCCTCTTGGTTCATCAGCAGACCCCCCAAAGGCCATGGTGGTCCTAGAACCTCAGTGGAATAGGATACTCATCTCGGACAGCGTGACGCTGAGGTGCCAGGGGGCCTACCCCCCTGGGGACAATTCCGTCCAGTGGTGGCACAACGGGAGTCTCATCTCGCATCAGGCCTCCAGCTACTTCATCGCGGCTGCCAGCGTGGAAGACAGTGGCGAGTACAAGTGCCAGACAGGCGCCTCCGAAGCCAGTGACCCCGTGCAGCTGGAAGTGCACATCAGTGAGTGGGGGAAGGGAGAGGGTGCAAGGGGAGGCCTGAATGACTGGGGAAGGGCCAGAAGATGACATTCTTGGGGGTTCCAACGAAGATGAGATCGTCTGTGGTCCCCCCGAGTTATACCAGAGTTGCGGTGCTAGGCACAGGCAGGCCTGAGGCAGAATGTCAAAACCTGGCATGCAATGGGTACGGGACTTACCGCTACTGCTCCCGTAGGACATGCCCGGCACCCACGGTGTCATCTGAAGGTCGGCGCCTGACCCTGGTGCTCAGTAATATTTACTGAAGAAAGTAATGGATCTGCTTTTTATAGCCTCCATCTCCTTCTGCCTCTCAGACACATCGCGCCCTAATCTACCCTCCAAAGCCTTCCTAACCACCTAGGGTCATATTGGTCCCTCCCCCATCAAACTTCTCTCACACTCACTCTTTAGTACAAATCACCTAGTGGAGATAGATACACACGGAGCATGGAATGAAAGGCTCCGTGTGTGTCGTTTACAGAATCCAGGCACCGGAAGCAGGTGAGGGAGGTATTTCAGAGGCAGAGATCTGCCCTGGTGGCCTGGAATCAACCACCTAGCCTGGTACCTGCAGTGTCGCCGTGCAAGCCTGACTCTACCTCTGAGGCTCAGTGACACACTGTATTTGGGTGGAACAAGCCTGGGGAGGGGAACCTGGGGGGGAAGGAGGGCCTGACCGAGGTGGACTTGCAAAGAGTTTCACAGAACTGCGCCTCTGGAGCTGATTTTTTTTTTAATTTTTAAATGTTTATTTATTTTTGAGACAGAGCACGGACGGGGAAGGGGCAGAGAGAGAGGGAGACACAGAATCCAAGGCAGGCTCCAGGCTCCAAGCTGTCAGCACAGAGCCCAGTGTGGGGCTCGAACCCACGAACCCCAAAATCATGACCTGAGCCGAAGTTGGATGCTCAACCGACTGAGCCACCCAGGCGCCCCTGGAGCTGGTTTTTGTGGCTCCTTAGCCTCTGCCCAGCACGTAACTGACATGGTCGTCATACTACAGAGTTACAGGGAGGAATGTCTATTACTGATTAGATGAGAGATGGTCTCCTTAGGCCAAATAAAAGGGGGAATTATCGGGGTGCCTGGGTGGCTTAGTTGGTTAAGCGTCCAACTTTCGCTTAGGTCATGATCTCGCGGTTCATGGGTTCGAGCCCTACGTCGGGCTCTGTGCTGACTGCCAGCTCAGAGCCTGGAGCCTGTTTCAGAGTCTGTATCTCCCTCTCTCTCTGACCCTCCCCTCCTCACGCTGTCTCTCTTTCTCTCTCCTAGAAATAAATAAAAATATTTAAAAAAGAAAAAAAGGGTGGGAATTATCAACAAGACACAACAGAACAATCAAATCTGAGAATTATGAATTTGCCTTGAACTTTGATCTAGGGACTGGCTTTAGAAGGCCAGTCAAAGAGGACCATGTGAAAATGAGACTATGAGCATTAACTTCACCAGGCCAACTCTTAAATGTCATTGTCATTACTTCACTTAACTTCTCCTCTGATAAGTCCTCTTTACTTTTTTGGAGGCAACCAGACTCTCTCTCTCGCTCTTTCTCTCTCTCTCTCCCTTTCTCTGGCCAGCACAAAGGTGCATATATATATATATACACACACACACACACACATATACATATATATTCTTATAACCATAATATTTGGTAATAATGATTCATACTCCGCTGGAAAAGTAAGTAGATATATAGATACATCACCTTTTTTGATCAATATCTCTTAATAAGTAATTAAGAATACTTTCTGTTTGGCAAATCTCACTAGTAGAGAAATTTTGCCTTCTACCAATTTTGTTTAGCACAAGGTAGCAGATTTTTTTTTAATTGTAGGGAGTTCTACTGTTCTGTTCTTATTACAAAAGTCGTTTGGGCTCTGTCCCCAAACTATATAAAAGTAAAAGAGAGAAAATTAAAATAACCTGTAGTCCCATCCCTCAGAGGAAACCCCTGTTAATATGTAAGCATGTTCTCTTTCTGTTCCTTTATCTCTGTGCTTCTCTGTTTTTTGTATTCTGTCTTTTTCACTTAGCATTATCTGGTGCATGTTTTCTTGTGTCATTTTAAGATGTATCTGCAACATACTTTTTAATTATTTAGGTCAACACCCTGGCCGTGGCTTTCATGTTCTCTCTGTGTGAAAACCTGGTTACTTGGCAAGAGAGTTGTGAGAATGAGTATCCTGGTGATACACGAATTTTCTCTCTTGAAGGCGGCACTCGGTACACTACCATTCATGCCCCTCTTTTCCCTCCTTGGCTTTTTTTAAAGCTATTTGAGCTTTTATCTTATTTCTTTAAGTTTATGTATTTATTTTGAGAGACAGAGAAATCACGTGTGTGCAGGCTCCTGTGTGAGTGGGGGAGAGGCAGAGAGAGAGGGAGAGAGAGAATCCTAAGCAGGGTCCATGCTGTCAGCGCAGAGCCTGATACAGGACTCGATGGCACAAACCCTGAGACCATGACCTGAGCCGAAATCAAGAGTTGGGCACTTAACCGACTGAGCCACCCAGGTGCCCCTCCTTCTTGACTTTTATGTTGAGATCTCCTTCGCAATTTCTTTTTTTTCTTAATATTTTTATTTATTTCTAGGAGAGAGAGAGAGACAGCGTGAGCAGGGAAGGGTCCGAGAGAGAGAGGGAGTCACAGACTCTGAAACAGGCTCCAGGCTCTGAACTGGCAGTCAGCACAGAGCCCGACACGGGGCTCGAACCCACGAACCGCGAGATCATGACCTAAGTGAAAGTCGGACGCTTAACCGACTAAGCCACCCAGGCGCCCCATCTCCTTCGCAATTTCTGTAGCAACCCAGTGACCTTATTTCTGACTGGCTGCTGTCTCTCACTATTCTGACAATTATCTGTCCCTTCTGAAGTCTACCTTTCCTTTCACGGAGCCAATCCTCATGTTCAAATGCAATTTTTACTCTTTGATGTAGAACTTACGGCCGCTGCTTATTACCCGCCGTATAAGCCCCAGTGCAGGCCCCAAGGACCCTGCAGATGGTTCCTCGCCTACCTGGTCACTTCAGTCCCTCTGCCCTAACCTTATGGGTGGACGTGTGCATCCCTCTTTCCCATTAGACACACACAGTCTTGGTGTGTCTTGAGTTGTCCTGCAGGACCTAATGGCCTTTTTCCCCAAGAGATCTCTGCGGGGATGGCTTCCAGTCTGGCCCTCCGTGACGCCCCAGGAACGGGTTGGGGTCTCCTGCAGAAGATCTTCGCTGTCCTCGCTGAGGCCTCCGGGGCCGGTGGCCTCTGTGTCTTTTAGGCTGGTTGCTGCTCCAGGCGTCTCGCTGGGTATTCCAGGAGGGGGAGACCATCCGGCTAAGGTGCCACAGCTGGAAGAACAAGACGGTATGGAAGGTTCAATATTTCCAGAACGGAGAAGGCAAGAAGTTTTCTCACAGCAATTCTGAGTTCCACATCCCCAAAGCAACAAGCAAACACAATGGCTCCTACTTCTGCAGGGGAATTATCGGGAAAAAAAATGAGTCATCAGAGGCTGTGTACATTACCATTCAAGGTGAGAGCTGTGCAGCCCTACAAGGGTCCAGAGCCCCCTGTGTGTGGGGTCCGTGTTCACACTGGGAAGACGAGTGGAGAGGAGCTTCCTGAATATTCCAGGAGCTTCTTTACAAGGGGTTTCGAGGGGTGTCATTCACTCTGCAATGTGACAGCAGGAACGGAAGCTGTGTTTCCTTCCCCATAAATGCACCTGTCCTCACTTACCCCAGTCAAACCATGCCCGCGACATTATGTGTTCACACTATGCTGGCCATCTTGACCTGCCTTCCTTTCCTCTCCGGGCCTCAAGTCTTAGCCATGAGCCCACCTGGTGGGAGCCCCTCCCCTCCTCACAGAAAGGGCTAGGCTGGGCTCTGGCTCTGCTGAGAATTCATCTTGTGACAGCAGGCAAGCCACTGAGTCCCTCTGAATGTCAAGTTCCCCTTCTGTAACAAGCACAAGTTGACATTTATTGGGTGCCTTCCAGTGTGTCGGACACTATGCCTGGTGCTTCTTCACGTGCACCCAGTGACCCCTGACACCAATATTAGGAGATTGCTGGTATTGAGTGTACCTTACAGATGCAGAAACAGGGAGAAAGGAGGGGGGCCGGGGGCGGGGAGGGATAATTAACTTTTCTCCAAGGTCGCTTCAAAGATTCAAAGCCTATGTAGTTAACCACGGGACGAAATGAAAGAATTGGACAGACACCACATTTCTGCTCTAACAATTGTCATCTTTCTCATCTCTCTGCTTCTCCTGTTAGGTCCTCCAAGTCCATCCACCTCACCGCTCCTTCCACATTGGTACCAAATCGCTTTCTTCCTGGTGCTAGCACTCCTATATGCAGCGGACACAGGGCTCTTCCTGGCTGTGCAGAGAGGCCTTCGAAGCTTAATGGAGAAGGGCAAGAACAGCAAAGTCACGTGGAGTCGGGACCCGCAAGACACATAGGGGTAATAAAATCAGCACCTCCGAACCTCTCTCTGGATTCACAACCCCATCACCCCCAGCAGGCAGCTCTGGGGGCAGTGTCTAGGGTGAGGGTCCTTCGCTCCACTGCGTTTTCTCTGGGTCTCCGCTGGAAAGGAAGGGCCGGCGACCTTCAGGTGCCAACAGTGATATCCCAGGGAGTAGCCGCATCACTCAGAACTAAAGTCTCAGAGCCACGCAGATGCTTTCTCTGCACGACCGCCCTGTCATAGCAACGTGACAATGCCGATTCTGGATGGTGACCCAACGCGCGAACATTGTTCTTAATTAACACAATCCGTAGAGAAGAGAATCGTGGCCTGGCCGATGGTCTGCATGTGTTGCTGCAGGGCCGGTTGCCTTTGGGGCACACTGAAGCTCCTTCCAGACGGATCGTGGGGGCTGTGGAGGGTCAAGGGGAGACCACAGAACCAGGGAAGTGGGTGGCTGAGCAAGAGCACAGGAGTCCAAGACAGACCAGAGAAGACTCCTGTCTTCCTAGGATATGAGCCGTGGTGTGGGTAGCAGAAAAATCACAGGGGTGATGTAGAATTGAGTTTTTCAGGGGAGCCCATGCCAGATTGGGACGGCTTGTCAGTGTATAATGATGGACCCTCTTGATGTCATGAGTAGAACATGGTCCTGGAGGGGGGGCGGGTTGGGTAGAACATAGAACATGGTCCTGGAAGGGGGCTGGGAATTGGAGGGCCTTGGAAAAGAAAGCACAGAACAATCCCTACGGCCGTAGGAAGAAGGGCAGCATTGCGGTCCCAGATCAAGCTCAGTGAACAGTGATATCTCGGTCCGAACTGAGAAAGCACGGCAGGGAAGGTCCACTCCAGCGCCCAGGAGGCAGGACACTTGGCCAAGATAAGCCACAGTCAGAGAGAGGAGAGGCAGGGACCGTTGAATCAGCTTTTTGCTTCCGTATCTAATTCAGGTACAGCTTTGTTTGTATCACTCATCGAATAAATATTGGCTAAGCGATACTCTATGCACTCAACTCCGCTGCGTTACAGTAGGAAAGTCTGAAATCCCTCGGCCTGTCAGTGACAGTGGAGTGAGGGTGGGGTCACGAGCACTGCTTGGAGAAGAAAGCTTAGCAATCCATCTGTATTAGAAGCTTCAAGCACAACATTTCTTGATTCCAATAAAGCATTTTACAAGATCTTGCGTGCTACTCTCGGACAGAAGATGGAAACCCGTGATAATAAGTCCTGATAATAAAAACCCATTTTCCCTCTTGTCCGAAATTCCACCAGGGATCAGTTTGGGGCAACTAATTCATTTCACCACAGCTCCTGTGAGTCAGCCAGTGGCGAATTTACCGTCCTGTGGAGGCAGCTGGGTGGAGGAGACGTTTATAGGTGGTGTGGGATGGGAGGAGGGGTTGGCAGTTGGAGGCAGCTCCAGGGCAGGTGCTGCGTGGGAGAAGGCACCCCTGGGAAGGAGACAGGGGCCTGGACAGAGGGATAGGGGCAGCCTAATTGTGTCAGTTACCAGCTATATGCCAAGAGGGTGTGGGCTTGATGTGTGAATATCTGATGAGATTCAGACACGAGGCAGGTGCACGGCGAAACCCTGGACATCCACCTCACATCTAGTTAGTACCTACAATATGCCAAGCTTGAGTCTAGGTGCAGAAGACAGACAGGTGTACAGCTCAGCGTCATTCCCCGAGGGGGCTTCCATTCTAGGGAGAAAGGCCTTGAGGAGAGAGTGGAGAAAAGGCTGCACTTTTGCGTTGGTGGCGAAGGAGGAGTTTGCCAGGCAAAGAGGAGGAGCTCTGGAGATCCGTGGGCAAAGTTTCCAAAGCCAGAGTCGGATTCGAGAAGGTGGTTCAGCTCTTTTCCAGTGTAAAGAGCCAGCGAGGGAGAGGAGCGGGTTCAAGGGCCAGATCATCAAAGGCACCGCCTTCTGAGCAGAGGAGGGCGCATCCGGCCCTGGCAGCTGTGGAGGGATTTTAGGCAGAATGAGTTTTAGGAAGCGTCTCTGGCAGCTCCTTGCAAGGAAGGGAGAGGGGAGTTGAAGACACGAAACCGCCTAGAAACCTAGTAGTTGTTGCAGTAACTCAAGGGCGGGGAACAGGGGTGGGGGTGGGGGGATGGGGTGTCCGTGAGGAAGTAAATGGCAGCGAGGCTGGAGATGCCTATTTCACAGATATTTAGAAGGCTGACTCTCCAAAAATCTGACTAGGGAGGGGCCTAGGTTCCGGACAAGCCCGTTTCATGAGTTAGGAAATACAAGGTCAAAGGCAAGGCAGGCACAGGTTTGTAAACGAGCTCATTTTTGGACGATCGGTGCCGGCTTCCTTTGGTTCGCAAGTATTCTTAGAACAATTTCAGGAGGCAGTTTTCGTAGAATTTAAGTCAAGCCACTAAAATTCTCACTCCCAACCGCAACTCTACCCATGCAGACCCGTTGCTTGCAAACCCAGGTTGCGGAGGCGAGTGAGAACCCGCCCGCGCCTAGAGAGTCCCCTAACGGACTCCGGGAAGACACCCACCCCCTGGGGCTCAAAACGCTCAGACCGCGTCCCTGGGTGGGCTCGAACCACCAACCTTTCGGTTAACAGCCGAACGCGCTAACCGATTGCGCCACAGAGACAGGCGGGAGGCGAGGCCTCTGTCAATTCAGTTCACCAAAAAAAAAAAAAAAANAAAAAAAAAAAAAAAAAAAAAAAAAAAAAAAAAAAAAATTCTCAGCGCTTTCTGCTTCTCCCCAAAGTCCTGTGGCGGGCGTGGGAACCGGCGGGCGTGGGAACCGGGTGGCCCGAGCCAAGCAGGTCCCTTACCCACCCCCCACTTTCTGACGCCTGCTTAGACCTGGGACAGGCCTCGGTGTGCACCCAGATGAGGCTGAGAAGCCCAGGTCTCTGGGAATCCCAAACCGAAGCCTCTCTGTGGCCTCGCGACTTGCCTTGGCTTTGCTTCGGGAAGTACGGTGAACTTTTTTTTTTTTTTTTTTTTTTTTGCTGATCTCGACAATTTACGCTCTCATGCCTGGGCGAGTGGGAACTCACAACCAGCTTCCTACTGTGAATATTTAAAATACCCGTATCACGCGTCCAATCGTGTCCTGCAAAATGTAACGTCTAAGCAAGGAAGCCTGGGAGAACAAGACGAATCTCCACCCCCAGGTGTCTTCAAAGGTCCGTACTAGTGCGTTAGACACCGGACAGAACGCAGTTTCCAACCGCCTGTGGCTTAAGGACTGTCACACTATCCGGATCTACATATCCGAGGGCAGAGACCCCTCTTCAACATCACCAGCACAGGGATCCTGATCAGTGCCGGGCGTCCTCTTCTCTGTAGCCTGGAGGGAACCTTCTCTCTCTGTTCTTGGGCCATTTCGCAGCCACAGGCTTCCTGAGTCACATCACCTCCGCCCCTGCCACCCCCCACCCCCACCCCTCTGAGGCACCCAGGCACCCACGAGCAGCCCTTCTCTGGGGTGCCAAGTCCCTATCCTCCTCCCAGAACCTTCTCTTCCTTCTACACCTCCGCCCTCTACACAGTGGATTCCAGTTTGGGTCCAGGTCAGTTTCCGATGCTCTTCAGAGAATGAGAATATACAGTATTCATATAGGCGCAAATAATATGTGTGTGTGTGTGTGTGTGAGAGAGAGAGAGAGAGAGAGAGAAGTCTGCCAAATGATCGCTATATTGAGATTACCCTTTTAAGTTTGTTTTAAAATATTTTTTATTTTCTACAATTAGGGTGAGGATAATGATAGTTGTGGCCATGGTTGTTTTTATTAAATTTCCTAATTCAGCAAAATAAAACGTTGGCGACTGTATATGGGTCACCAACCTTTTAGGGGAAATTCTACTCACCTGCAAAGTCCAAGTTTGGGAGCCACTATTCTCACTGTCACCTCTTTGTTGGATTGGTTGATTAAAAATCACCTTCCGGTTTATTCTAAACACACATAGATTTCCCGTGTTTCACTTTGCAAGTACAAGACAGCAATCTAAAAGAAGGCAAGGGGGAAAAAAAAAACCCAACCTGAAGCATTAAAAAGAAAGTACAGGGCACCTGGGGGGCTCAGTGAGCTAAATGTCCGACTTCGGCTCAGGTCATGATCTCACAGTTTCTGAGTTCAAGCCCCTCCTTAGGCTCTGTGCTGACAGCTCCAGATTCTGAGTCTCCCTCTCTCTCTCTGCTCCTCCCCAGCTTGCCGTCTGTCTCTCTCTCTCAAAAATAAATAAACATTAAAGATTAAAAAAAAAAAAGCATTTACAAAATGGGATGGTGAAATAAATCCAAATATATCAGTAATCACAATAAATATAAATGGAGAAAATTTGCCAGTGAAAGTGGATTTTATTTTATTCTGTTTTCTTCTAAAACATATTTTATTCTGTTTTAGAAGAATGATATTAGAAAAAAAAAACAGAAAGACTGAATGGAAAAGAATGGAAAAAGATATGCCAGGAATACTCTAAAAGAAAGTTGACACACAGCTAAGTAATACCAGACGAAATAAAGTTTAAGAAATAATGCATCACAAGCGATAGAAATGTTACTACATGATGATAAAAGATTAAACTATGATAAACATATAATAATTCTGAACATATATGTATCTAATAAAATGACATTAATACATGAAAGCAAGAATTATTAGACCTACAAGAGAAAACTGACAAATTAATCTGCAGTTGAATCTTCAAATTCTACAGTGAGAGAATTCAACTTACTATTCTTAGCATTCAGTAGGTTAAGCAGAGAAAAAAAATTAAGTATACAAACACAGTTAATAAGAACTCTGCATCCAATAATGTTTGGTTATATATTCTTCTCAAATGCATATGGAACGTTTATAAAAATTGACTGTATTATATGAAGCCATCGAACGTAGCTTCATGGCATGGGCACTATATAGAACACATTCTTTGAACATAGTGGGATTTAACTCAGAAATCAATTACAAAAATAACTTTTAAAACCCTCACATATGTGGAAATTTCTCAAACATATGCTTTTCAAAGAACTCATGGATGAAAGAGAAATTGAATGGAAACTGAAAAATACTTAGACTGAGTAGTAATAAAAATATAACGTACCCAAATTGTTGATTGCTCAGAGTTTTACATGTGCACTAGGGACACGCACAAAGGAACACTTCAGAAAGTTGCTGAACACAGCCTTCAATGTTCAGCATATATATTGCACAGGATCTTCTGTTAAGTATATCTGTTAGAAAAAAAAAAAAAAACAACGACAACCACAGAAAACTTTTGGAATACAATTAACCCTGTGACAAGGAGGGAAATGTATAGAGAGAAACATTCTGATTGGTCAGTGCCATACCCGTTAACTCCCCCTCAGAAAGAATCTTGGTCTGGGTTCTGCTTTGGCTGTCCCTAGACACCCCCGGAAAGCCAGTCCCCATACCACTGCTGGCCACCTCTAGGGAATTCTACGTGGGCACAGTCAAGAGGCCACTCAATGCCTCCCAACCTGCAGGTCTGATTGAAGCCAGCCTACCGCAAGTCCTGGTTATAGGTCCCTGCCCCTGTTTGTCTCCCAGGACAGGGCCACCGGAACCCTGGTCCAGTTAACAAGGGCCCAGTGTCAGTTGGGCACCCCACCCCAACACTGTGGCTGCCCGATACCACCCATTACTATGCTGTACTCACCATTGCCTGTGGCCACTTGTGGGAACGATAGTCTCCACCCCACCTTGGTACCAAGAAGTCAGGAAATAACAGAGAGAGCAGGCAGGCAGTAATGTGTCACACAAAGCATCAGCCACGTATGATGGCCTCTGCTGGCTACTGCTGGCCGTCCTGTGACAGGATGGAGTCTGGGATGCAGACTGGAACATCGGGGAAATTGGGGGCTAACAGGTGACGGAGCGGCAGGTGCGCCTTTTCCCCGTCTGTATTGTAGTTCACCTTCCTGGAACAAGTTTGTTCTTTTTTAAACCCCAAACGTCCTCTGCCATTAGTAATTATTTCACTAATAAGAAGGATAATCAATGCTTGCTCATTGCCAGACACCATTCTGAACAGTTATTAACTCACCTGAGAATTCTAATGATCATCGTTATCCCCTTTTACATATGGGGAAACTCAGAGAAAAGGAGCCAAGATTCAAACACAGGAAGCACAACAGAGCCTACGTACGTCGCAATGACATTACATTGCCTCATCCCACCTGATTATACATATCATTCCAATAAATGATTATCATGTGATAAAGAAAACAGATCTATAAAGCCCTCAGACAATATTTTAGAGGCTAGAAAAAACTTTATTACAATTGCTGCTAGTTCAACAGAAGACAAAGGATTCAGTATCCTTAATATCTATCGTTTCCTAATTTTAGGAAAAAGTTTTCAACTTACACAATGACTTCAATGACTTATGACTATCAGTGTATTGGAAAGAAACTAGAGGAGTTTGATGCAGTTCCTCATGTTAAACCTGGGTTCAGGTAGAGGCATCATTTAGCCAGTACGAGCTGTATCAAATAAACCAACAATTATTAAAAATCAAATAATTTGGAGATGACTTGAAAGGTTGACATAGTATTTGCACTAGAACTTGCATTACCTACAAATCAGTTGTATGAGATACATAAGCACACAGATCTGTATGTATAGGTAAGGACTGGTAGGGGATAGTCGAAATACAGAGTTCTGCAACTGAGTTAAATCTTCTGAATACCATCAATGGCTACGTGTCTCAACATAAATGAATCCTGTAAAAATAATATTTATTAAAAAAAAAAGAAGCGGGTTGCAAAAGAACACATACTGCCTGATACCAGTTATAAAAACTTTAAAAGTATGAAAATCCAAGAAATATATATATTTGATAACACATACACATGTATTGAACCTATGATAAAGGCCAAAGGAATGGTAAATATAAAACCCAGAATAAAATTTGCTCCTTATTGGGAGAAAGAGACGCCAGATCTAGGGAGATTACTTAGATGGCTTCTCATTCAAGAAAGAGCACAGTAAGGACCTTAATTGTGAACAACAGAATCTGCTGTAGCTTGTTTAACTACGAAAGGATTTATTGAGGGCTATGGATAATTCACCAGGCATTGGGAAGGCTGAAGAAACAGACTCTAGGCTAACTTCCAGGAATAACTCCCCAAACTATTCTGTATATCGGGCTCCCACACTACTCAGCAAAACGTGCCATAAAACAAATTAAAAAGCTTCCCCAGTCTCCAGTCTCTGGCTCTAGAACAAAGCTGCATTGGCCACTATTGACACCACACAAATCATATCCTTGTGGCTCTCCCATGTAACTCTGGTACAAATCAGATCTCACTAAAGAACATCTGGTTGGCAGAACATAAATCATAACCAGAACCTCAGCTGCAAAGGAATCTGGGAAACGTAGTTTTTAGCTTCCCACTTCAACAGCACAGGAAAACAAACCGGAATGGGAGCTGAGCAAACCAATCGACATAATCCACTGCAATGAGTAACCTGAAAAGCAAAAATAAAATAAAACCAACACCAAATTAAAACAAAAACAGGTAACGTTCCTACCTCCATCTCTAACACAGGACCATTAGGTAATGAGGGGGTCTCAAGAACTATATAGTCGTGGGCTACAGTTGTGGGTATATTGTGACAAACCCTTGCCACCAAGGATCTGTGCATGTTTTTGTTCTTAAAAGACACCCTGGGTGTGGGAGGAGGGAGGGGCTCCAGGTCCCTGTGTTGGACTCCTCCCAAATTCCTGTGGACAAGATCCCAACAGTGTAACTGAGAAAAGTTTATACCATCTCGTTGATCCACGAAATCAAAGAGAAAGCTTGCAGTCTACTGGGTTCATGATAAACAGCTCATAATCCAAGATGGAGTCAAAACTCTCTTGGAAATCAGACTGGGGCATCGCTCGCATAGTCAAATATCAAAAACATGCAAGAAAGGACAAGACACAGCAGCGTGAAAGAATAAGGGACAGCAGTGTAAAAGAATGTGAGCCACAGACTCCCAAGCGTTCACAATATCCAAGAGGAAGCTTGGTATCTTCTGTTTTCACCTTTAGCTCATGGATCCAAGCTGGGATTGGAGTCCAGTGTGTCCCACATTTTTTGTTTTATTTTTTGTTTGAGAAGGATGGATGGGTTAGTACCCATCAATGATGTCATTTCAAATCAGTGGTTGAGGGGTGGGCTATTCAATGAACTGAATGGAGAACCATCAGGTGGAAGGATGGGAATAGAGTTACACATACCCCATGTTATACCTCAAAATAATTTCAAAAAGAATTAAAGGGATAATACTAAAAAAGCAAAACTGCTCTGAGAAAATAAAGGTAAAAACGGGTCCAATATTGGGGTGGGTAAGAGTTTTCTACTTATGAAAAAAAGTTAAGAAACTCTCAGGGAAAGTATTTGTCTACATAAAAATTAGAAACTTCTGAAGTTCAAAGACACTATGAATAAAGTTCAGAAGTAATTCCACTTTCCATAATGGTGGAGGCACCTGTGTGATACTAACCACTCCACCTGTAACAATTATAAACTCTGGACAAATTATTTTAAAAACCTGTAAGACATTTGAGAATGAGCAAATCAGATAGAAAATAAAGAGGATCTTATAGGTGAACTAAGTTGGATATAAATAAAATTTAAAAAGAAGAAAGAAAAGAAAGAGGATTCAAGCGGTGGAAGAAGGAATCATAAGGGTAAGGCCACTCACCAGGAAATGAGACTCAGACACATAAATTCATGCAAAAAACTAGTCTTATACCTCATGCATTGAGGTAGAGTTTAAGGCTGCTAGACTGGTGGATGTTGAAGGAGTAAATCTCAGAGAAGAGATAGCCTGATTCCAGAAAACCAAATCTGCAAATAAATCTCTCAATCTCTGGCTCACGCTCCATCTGAGCATCTACCCAGCAGGATTTCAGGGAGACCAAGATGAAAATAATAATTGGAGGGCGAAGAGCATACCAGGCAGAGATTTCAAGAACTGCCCCACCGGAAGAGACCAAAAAACACTGGGGCAACAGAAATTAGGAGAGTCGTTAAAGAATCTATAATGCGGCCATTTAATATAGCACAACGAAAACCATTAAAATACCGTTTTAGACTAACATTTAATGAGTATAGAAATATTCACATTTTAAAGGAAACACTCAAGTAGGTTAAAAAAAATACAGATATGCACACCGTGATTCCAACTTTGCATTAAAAAAGAAATGCCAAGAGATAAACACACAGCAAAACGTTAATAGGGATTTCCTGGGTGATGGAAATATGGGTGCCTCGTATTCCCCTGTGGTTTGCTTCTTTCTCATATTTTCTAGAAGGACTGTATACTACTCTTATATTCAGGGGAAATGTTATGTTTTCTAAAAATGAGCATATATGGTGCGCCAGATGCTCTGCAGGGCACAACTTCAAAGGACTGTAGCGCCGCAAAGGGTCTCAAAAACTGTAGCTTGGCTCTTCCACGTTGCAGATGAAGAAACCGAGGCCCAGAGAGAAATGGCTTGCGCAAAAGCAGACAGCTTCTTAGGGACCTAAGAGCAGGTGTTCTGATTGTCAGACCAGTGCTCGCTTCTGCTTGCACGCGTTGGTGCTAGTAGGGCGGCGGCGAGAGCGCGAACTTGAGAGCGCGGGCTGGGGTGGACTTGACTATCCACAGGCCGGGGAGGAAGGAAGCAGGAGCGCCTAAGTCGGGGGTGCAGGAGACGCACTCTGCAAGCCGCAGAGTGGCAATTTGGAATACAGAGCTCCAGGCAGAGCCTGGATCCTGGGATTTTCTTCCAGTGGGCAGCAGGAAATTTCGCGGACGGGAGAAAGTTACACCCAGTGGCAGGCCTCTTTCAGGGGTAGATCAGGTGGAAACTCGCTTCCAGAGTGAAGACCCAGGGTCAAAATAACCCCAGGACCCGTACTCCTGTGCATCATCCAGGAAATTCTCATGTGACAAGCATACTTTTGGAGGGAACCTAAAATCATCCAGGAATAACTTTTATTTCTCCAGTAACAGAGAATGTAGAAACAAAGAAAGGGGGTGTGGGGGGGGGGGGGAAAAAGCTCTTAGTCTCCCCGTCGGGGAATCGAACCCCGGTCTCCCGCGTGACAGGCGGGGATACTCACCACTATACTAACGAGGAAAACCGCGACGCAGGTCTGAAATTGATTGTTTAGGAACTTACTTCTAAACTTCGGTGACGCTGCCGACCGCTGATAACGCTGTGTCTTTGCTGCCTCGTCCCAACCTGACGAGAGCCCTACATGTAACTTACATTTTCTTACAGCCACATTAAAAATTAAGAAACAGGTGGGTGACTTTGAATACCACATCTTATTTAGCCCAAGGTCTCCAACATTTTGTTTCGACGTGTAACTAATATGCAAATATTAAATTTGAATTTTTTTCATCTTTCGTCTTCAAACCAGTTATGTTTGGGACACACAGACAGCGTGTTGCAACGCGGGCGTTAGCTTCTCATCGGAAAAACGGGGTGGGCACCTCGACTTCATACACTTGTGCTAATTACTTAGTTTACTGTCGCACACCTGCGGGTGCGGTTCTCCAGACGCACCTGCGAGCCTGGGCGCCCGGACGTCGGCACCTGCGCGCAGGATCCTCCAGAGGTGGCAGCGGGAAAGGGCGGGCGGGAGCGAGCGGCAGAGAGTCAGGGGGCTTCGCAGCGACGGATGAGCCCGGGAGAGAAGTCAGCGCTTGCAGTTCCTGGTTTGGGTTCAGGCTTTTTTAAAAAAGAATCCCGCGTGGTTTTCCCCGGGGGGGAGGGGGAAAAAAAAAGAAGAAATTGCGTTGGCCGGGAATCGAACCCGGGTCAACTGCTTGGAAGGCAGCTATGCTCACCACTATACCACCAACGCCGGCGCTGCCCAGGGCCGCGAAATCTCTATATAAGGCAAATGGAGGCCGTGAGTTTTCCTGACGCTGGTGCTCCGCGACCCTGAGGTGCTTGGAGCCTTTCCTGAATGAGGATGGATCTCGACTTGGCTCCTGGTCGAGCCTCCAGCTACGGACGGACCCTGGAGGCCGGGGCGGCGCGGAGCCCAGCAGGAAAGCCGATGCCTCGCCCCGCCGGGGGTTTTCCCGCCGCCTGCGCGTGTCCGCGCTCGCAGTCCCGCCGCTGGGCGCGTCCCAGCGCTGGAGCCGCCCGGTGTGGGATTCGGTACCGGCGATTTGGGGCGGAGGGTCTGAGGGAGACCGGGCGGCAAAGGGCCCGCGCTGGCCAGGCTCCGCCGCGCTAGACGAGCGAGGGGAGCGCTCTAAAGGGCGAAAGTGAAAATGGGTCTTTACAGTTTAGGATGGTGGAGAAGTAGGAAAGAGGAATCGGCGACAGTTTTATTTTTCGAGCTTTGACAAGGACCTTATGGAGACTTCTAGTTTGATAGATACTGACGTCATGCTACAAGCACCGCAGGATGAACTTAAAGAGGAGTAAGAAAAGCCTTGGTTTCCGTGTCAGGATGGCCGAGCGGTCTAAGGCGCTGCGTTCAGGTCGCAGTCTCCCCTGGAGGCGTGGGTTCGAATCCCACTTCTGACAAAGTTGCGTTTTCTTTCGTTTTCTTCCCTAACAACAATTAGAATTGAATTCATGGAGAAAGGAGTAGTGATTAATCAACACCTTTTCGTCCTGAGTATGTAGATATGAATGTTATGTTATGCTCTACTGTGAATATGAAACAATTTTTTTCTGTGTAATAGGCAGGAGACTGGTCTAGGAAATCAGGAAACAATTGAGACTAAGAATTACCCCTAACTATGGAAAAAACTTTTTTTTGCCTTAGAGTCCAGCCTCTCAGTATCTATGTATCCATTCCTTTATCGGACAGCAATATATTGAGCCTTTTACTCTGTGCCAAGCCCTTCAGGGCAGGCAGTCCGTCCGACGGAAGGCGGACTAGGGAGGCCCCTCAGCCCTGAGGCCTCCTCACAGGCCCTCCCTGGGATGTCTGCAGGCTCTGAGTCTCCTCCCAAGAGAAAAATTCAAGAACAGATCAGACACTGGTTTAGTGATGCTCCAAAAGAGCTCATTAAAGAGAGAGACGGAGTGCACTCTCCAGATGTGAGAGCAGCGAGATCAAGGGAGAGCAGGGCCCAGGGTTTGGGTCTCCACCTTTCATGGACGGTTGTTTAATGTCAAGGGGGTGGAATATTTATCATTTCGGGAAGTTTCTTTGGGAGCAGGATTTCAGGCCTTCTTTGTCTTGGGCCTGCCTGTCTGATTTGATCTGGCTTTCTCCCTGGCATTAGTTGGCAGGACAGGTATCCGACTTTCCCGATACCTGGCCCTGACTCCTCGTTTGCTGGTGTCCAGGCATCAGGTTTAAAACTTACCGTAACACCACCACCAACTCTGATTCAGTAGGGTTGCTGTGTCACCAAAACCCAGGAAAAGAAATCAACATAATAAATCTGGGAAAGTAATACAGACGAAAGGAAAACTCGTGGAGCTGGGTGTTTCAAGAGCTCCTTTTTCTGGAAGATCATGAATAAGATGCTTTCTGATGAAGGAAGAACTGTTGATGAAAAACTCTTGTTGCCCTTTTGAGAAGAGGGAATGTTATGCCCAGATCGCGATCTCCCCAAAATCCCAAGACCACCAAGGAGTCCGAGTCACGTATGCAAAGGCAAAGGGCTTTATTACGGGCTGAAGCTCAGGCTCTCAGACCTCACTAACGCAATGAATCCATGCTGAGAGCCTCGAACAAGGGCAGAGTAGGGTTTTTATGGGGTTTGAGATGGGGGAAGTTACAGAAGTTGTGACATGGGAACAGTGATCCAATCATAATTATTCAATATCATTGACAGCGGGTTTTACCATACACATTGTCTATAGTATTTGTTACTTTTGGCGGGATCCAATTACAACGTTTAGAGTACCTTTAAATCTGACCAATCACAGAGCGAGCCTAGGGTCTTGTTCGGCGATTAACAGGTTAACTTTAACATTGGGTAACAGGGTCCTATCTATAGTTCCTATCTCCAGGCCTCTCCCTTAACATTGTGGAGGGTGGTCGCTGGCCTTTCTTGATTGGGTGTTGCGAGGGTGGTTTCTCCTGCCTTGGGCAATGTGTAACTACCTGGTAGAAAGCCGGAACTCAGGCCTTCTAGTTTGGAGGGGAAACTTAAAGCCTGTCATGGAGTCAGTTTGGGTTAGACGTTTAGACTTGTGGCCTTACACGAAGAACTGTCTAGCTGAATGTGTGAAGTTCACAGGTGTGAGGATGGAAGGATCTTTAGGTCGATTAGCGAAAGTTTGCCAGACAAACTGCATTCTTTGTTATTTACTAGACCGTGATCTCAGGAAGTCACTCGAGGTATAACGCGTGCACTGAGTAATATTGGGTGGCTTCTGTAAGTGCCTAGGAGCTTATTAGAAATGCAGATCCAGGCCACAACCTCAGAACCGCCAAATTCAATGTTTGTCAGGTCTCCAAGTGATGCACATGCAATATGAAAGTCTGAGCAGCACTGGTCTAATTTAGGTGCCTTTGCACAGGTTGATCTTGAACTTGGACTACCGTTTCTCTTGCTGCTCACCAAGGCACTGTTTACTTGGTATCAGGTGAGCACTCACAATATGTCAGACACCGTGCTTAGAACAGAAGGTAAAAAGTTAAAAACTGCATCTACCGTATAGCCAACGTCAACGCATGCACAAGAGGCATGTGAAAAAACAAAGTTGAACCTTAACCGTGGGATCAAGGTGAATATCACTAGTGGCTCTTCATGCTCCTCTCACGTACACACCGATCAAATTCGTGGAGATGGACACTTCAGCCTGTGGCATTCTTTTCAAAAACCTCAGTCTAATCATGAAAGAGTATCAGATAAACCCCAGATGAGGGACAATCTGCCAAATACCTGACCAGTACTCTTGAAAATGTCAAGGTCATGCAACAAAAGGTTGGGAAACTGTCACAGATTGTGGGGAATGATGTGTGAAACAAAGGCAAAAGAAAGTAAACGGGATGTCCTTACTGCCTACAGGGCTTTGAGACCGGCAGTGACCTTCCTCTGGGAGCTCAGCTGCTTTGATGTTGACACTTTGCTGAGGGCAAAAGGCGATCTCAGCCCAGCCCTCTAGGGTCCTGTAAGTCTACTTTAACATAAAAATTCCTTTGGAAACTTCATTATCTCTACCCTTCAAGATATACTTTGGCAATCATCCTTCAAGCATGAAGCATGTGGCTTACTGATACACATCTGAAAGGTCTCATGACTGAGTTTCTTTTTTACTAAACAGTAATAAATGACTATTTTCCTAAAAATAGCTAGCCCCCTCAAGGTCCTAGAAACCTTGTTTCCATAATTCCTTAGAGACTTCTGCTATCCCTAACCCCCTCCCAACTTGAACTTATGTAATCAGTCACCAGTCACTACTCCAGGCAGCTCTTTGTGCCCACGGGTCCTGTCCCCGAGTTATAATAAATCCACCTTTTTGGTAACAAAGGCGGTTCAAGAATTTTTTCTTGGCCATTGCTCTGACAAAATGCTGTTTTTTACATTAGAGGGCTTGTAGCAAGATTTCGTTTCTAAATAATGGACATGTATTTTTATTTAATTTGTAGTTAATTAAATTCGTAATTTTGATTTAATTTGTAATATTTTTTGGAGACGAACTGGGTGACATGGTTGTTATTACACTAATCAGCTATGTTAAGAGGAAAATGACAGGCCCAAAACCAAATAATCCAGTGAAGAAACGGGCAAAAGACATGGATAGACACTTTTCTAAAGAAGACATCCAGATGGCTAACCGACATCTGAAAAGATGCTCAACATCACTCATCATCAGGGAAATACAAATCCAAACCACAGTGAGATACCACCTCACGCCGGTCAGAATGGCTAAAATTAACAACTCAGGCAATGACAGATGTTGGCGAGGATGCGGAGTAAGAGGAACACTTCTGCACGGCTGGTGGGAATGCAAACTGGTGCCGCCGCTCTGGAAAACAGTATGGAGATTCCTCAAAAAATTAAAAATAGAACTACCCTATGACCCAGCAATTGCACCACTAGGTATTCATCCAAAGGATACAGGTGTGCTGTTTCAAAAGGGCACATGCGCCCCGATGTTTATAGCTGCGCTATCACCAGTAGCCTAAGTATGGGAAGAGCCCAAATGTCCATTGATGGATGAATGGATAAAGAAGATGTGGTTTATATATACGATGGAGTATTACTTGGCAATTGTAAAGAATGGAATCTTGTCATTTGCAACAACATGGATGGAACTAGAGTGTATTATGCTAAGCGAAATTAGTCAGTCCGAGAAAGACGAATATCATATGATGTCATTCATATGTGGAATTTAAGACACCAAACAGATGAACATAAGGGAAGGGAAGCAAAAATAATTGAAAAACAGGGAGGGGACAAAACATAAGAGACTCTTAAATACAGAGAACAAACTGAGGGTTGCTGGAGGGGTTGTGGGTGGGGGGATGGGCTAAATGGGGAAGGGGCTTAAGGAATCTACTCCTGAAATCATTGTTGCACTACATGCTAATTAGCTTGGATTTAAATTTAAAAACGAAAAAAATAAATCAGCATACATCCAAAAAAGAGGAAGGAAGGAAGGAAGGAAGGAAGGAAGGAAGGAAGGAAAAAGACAACAGACCCAAGATAGAGTCACTTATGCTGAGCCAAGTCACAAAACTGGAACTTAATACCTAACCTAACTGCAGTTTCAACCTCTCCCTGAAATTTAGTTTAACCGGTTAGTCAGGAAGTTTCCAGTCTACACCAGTAAGAATAAGAACACCCACCCTTACCACTAAGAGAGGATGACCTTGCCTGGAGCAATCCTTTCTTTTCTTTTGCTAATAACTTGTTGCCGACCCTCCTTCCTATAAAAACCTTCACTTTTGTGAAAGGCCTCAGAGTTCCCCTCTACTTGCTAGATGGGATATTGCCCAATTCTTGAACCCCTTACAGAAGCCAATTAGATCATCAGATTTACTTAGTTAAAATTCTGTCCTTTAACAACTATAGACAATATAAAGGTGCCTTATGGGGAGCCTGGGTGGCTCATTCGGTTGGGCTTCCAACTTGGGCTCAGATCATGATCTCACAGTTCATGGCTTTGGGCCCCACATCAGGCTCTGTGCTGACAGCGCAGTGCCTGGAGCCTGCTTTGGATTCTGCGTCTTTCTCTCGTTCTGCCCCTCCCCTGCTTGTGCTCTGTCCTCTTTCTCTGTCTCAAGAATAAATTAAAAAAAAAAAAAAAAAAGCCTTATCAGGCATACAAGAAACAGTCCCCAAAGAAACTAAACCATTAACAACAGTCTCATTTAAAAGGCGAAGGGCATCTGGGTGGCTCAGTCAGTTAAGCGTCTGACTTCAGCTCAGGTCATGATCTCACAGCTTGTGGGTTCAAGCCCAGCGTCAGGCTCTGTGCTGACAGCTAGCTCAGAGCCTGGAGGCTGTCTTCAGATTCCGTATCTTCCTCCCTCTCTCTCTGACCCTCCCCTGCTCATGTTGTCTCTCTCTCTCTCTCAGAAATAAATTAAAAACATTACAAAAAAAAAAAAGCAGATGAAGCAGAGTGCTTAAATCCCTCTATGGAAAAATAGATACCATACAAATGAGGGGATCTGAAATGTTTTCACAACTAAACACAAGACAATCTTCCTTCTTACACCCTATGTTTTTAAAGAGAGAGAGAATATGTTGTTGAAATGCTAAGAAACTATCTAAGCCCTGGGAGTGTCAGAATAGGCAGTGACTTAATCTCTCACAGGATACCTGGAGACCGGCTGTGGGAAGGTCCAGGCCTGTCCCGGCAGCGCTCCACAGGAGGCCAAATCACACCAGACAGGCCCCAGGGTGGAAGATACTATAGCAGGAAATTGTGACCAAATTAAGAAGAAAAAGCAGGAAAACCCTGCTTCTTGCCCCCAGTAATAAATATTCTGCTGCCTAGTTAACAACTGTCAATAAAAAATAGAAACCCAAACCCCATGCTCATGAACACACTAGCTCCCTCTCTCTCTCTTTCTGTTCCTCTCCCTCACTCCCTCCTCCCCCGCTTGCTCGCTCGCTCTCATATCTCCAGAAGAATGTACTTTTTCGCTTTAATAAACTTCCCTACTTGTGTAACTCGTCCACTGCGTGGCATGTCTGTCCTTGAATTCATTCTTGTGGCAAGACCAAGAACTTTTGGCGACTCCTTGAGGTCTGGCTAGATCAAGCCCCCCCACCATGGCCCTGGGTCTCCCCAGTTCACCCAGCAACATGAGTATCATCATTCCTCCTGGGAAGTCCAAGTTGGAAGCTGGGAGGAAATTCTGGAACGGGAAAGTGTAACATAGAATGTGTGTGTGATGTCATCTTTTTGGGGCAAGTTCCTTCAGTGGGAAACCAGGACGGCCAGCAGTAGCCCAGGTGCAGAAAAGAGAGCAGTTAAAACTGTGAAGTGACAAGTACGCGGCCAGGGCGTTGTCCTGCAGTCTCCTCTCCGCCCGCAAGAGGCGCCCCTGAGCCAACTGTAAGGTAGCCTGGCTCTGGCCAAACGCGCCTGCAGTTCCGAGATAAAAGTCTACCTCCGGTTGCCCACAGGAGACACCCAGCGTGGACTGGGTGAACTGGGGACTAGCTGATGCAAGTTTATCCTCGCTCCTACGTTGGCACTTACTTACCCAGCGGAAAAACTGAGCCCGAGGATACTTCCCAGGGTCAGCCACTTGCTCTAAAAACCACGTATTAGTGAATCATGTAAGTAATACAATAAAATATATATCTTTTCTTGCGGGGTTCAGCATCCAGCTGTGTTCTAAAAGAATAACATATGCAGTTTCATAACATCTCGGGGAAGTTCTGATAAGTAGAGTGACCGGCTGTTTGTGAGGTGACAAGGCACAGGCTCTAGAATCAGGCAGGACAGGATTCTCAATTCCAACCTGCCCCTCCCCCACACTTAACAGCTATGTGACCTTGAGTAAATTGTTTAAGCTCTGGATCCTCATCTCCCCAAAGAAATAAAAACCTGTGATGTTGCCCTGAGGATTAAATTAGATTGTGTATGTCACGTACCTGCTACACAGTTGACACTCAACTAAAATAATTAGTAACAGCTAATATTTGCAGCTCATTGCTGTATGCATAACATTCTTTGTCACTTCTTACATTTACTAATTAATTGAAACCTCTTAGCAATCCTGAAGTAGGTGCTGTTTCATCATCAACTCCCCCTATATAGAGAGACCGAACCTCAAGGAGGCTTTTTTTTTAATGTTTTTTTTAGGGTGGGGGAGGGGCAGAGAGAGAGGAAGACACAGAATCCGAAGCAGGCTCCAGGCTCTGAGCTGTCAGCACAGAGCCTAATGCAGGGCTCGAACCTACAAACTGTGAGGTCATGATCTGAGCGGAAGTCAGACACTTAACTGACTGAGCCACCCAGCTGCCCCTGAACCTGGGAGAGTTCAACTTCCACCAGATATAAAGGAACAGAGCTGAAAATCTGGTTCCGGCATTGTTATTATGATACATGGCCATCATTATTATTATTATTAATCATCACCCTAGGGGCCCATCATGCCATTTCTCTCACATATGAGATCAATAGTAACTTTTTTTTTTTAATTTTTCTTAATGGTTTATTTATTTCCTGAGAGAGATAGACAGTGTGAGCAAGGGAGGGTCAGAGAGAGAGGGAGACACAGAATCCGAAGCAGGCTGCAGGCTCTAAGCTAGCTGTCAGCAAGAGAGCCCGATGCGGGGCTTGACCCCACCAAGGGTGATATCATGACCTGAGCCAAAGTCAGACACTTAACCGACTGAGCCCCCCAGGCGCCCCCAATAGTAACTTTAATCACACCACTAGATGTACTCTCCAAAGTCAGGATACACTACATCTCCAGGGTCCAGGACATGGGGTTTGTTCCCTAAAACAACATGGATAGGAGTGTCTGGGAGTCTCAGTCAGTTAGGCCTCAGACTCTTGATTTCATCTGGGGTCATGATCTTACAGTTCTCACCAATTGTGAGTTCAAGCCCCAGCATAGGGCTCAGTGATGACAGTGCAGAGCCTGCTTGGGATTCTCTCGCTCTCTGTCACTCTCTGCCCCTTCCCCACATGCTCACGCTCTCTCTTTCTCTCTCACAATAAATAAATAAACTTAAAAAAAGAATAAGGGATAAAGTAACTTGATTAAAGACAGCTAATTAGCATATAAAACTATCTGTCAGTATATTAGGACCTACAGACAGAAACTATCGACTAGAATCTCAATACAGGATTTTTTTAGTCTTAGGTCACACACAGGAGCCTTGCTGGGACTCCAGTCTGTCTCCATTCTTTACTTTTCCAACTCTTATCTCCTTTCCTCTTCCAGCAAATGACTCACAGCCTTCTCCTATCAGCCCTCAGATTTCACTACTGACTCGGACTTGTCCGCCTCAAACTGTCTCTTACCCTTTTTTCCCCTGTGGAAATCACACACACAATGTGTGAATTTTCTTCACTTCCTTCAGCACCCACCCTGATATTTTCTGCTTCTGACCGCCTTGCCTCTTTATGCATTTAACTGGATTGAAAACTAAGGAGGATTATGTATTTAACCGGATTGAAAACTAAGGAGGAGCTTTAAATGTTTATTTAGATCTATGTTTCACAAAATCCATATGTGCAAGTAACCAAAAAAAAAAGTAGGCAAAGGCAATGTTGAAGTGCCACATAAATGTGATAACGGTCACTTCTGCCTGCCTGAAATGGGAGAAGAGGATTTTAAAAAGTGAAATGGCACGGATCTCGGTGATACAACACACCGGGATGAAAGCTCCCTGTTTGGAAGATTTCTCTCCACTCCCAGTCTTCAAGTTCAGGGCAGGATCACCGAAGGCTGTCCAGGGGCCCCACAAAGCCAGCCCTTACAGTCACACGTATCAGGAGGGGCCATTCAATCAACCTGCTCAATGACGGGGCCGGTACTGGGGGCTCCCTGGCCAGTGTCAGCTCCTCATGTGCCACCCCCAGGGACACACAGGGCCTGGAGAAGGTGGGGTGACAGATTAGCTCCAGCTTCCTCCTCTGATTCTCGTAGTCTATGCTCCAGCCAGACACGGACTTCCTGACTCTTGTCCCGTGCTCTGTGCTTGTCCTTTGGGGAAACCTTGTCTCTAAGGCTCTCCCTTTGCTAGGAGCCCTTCACACAGAAGACACTGGTCTCGAGGAAGGTTATGGCAAGCCCTCCGTCCCTCCCGGCCTCAGCCTCAACCTCGTACTGCCCAGCCTCGCCAACCATGCTCTCAACCTCCTCCTTGCTCAGCTGGCCCTGGGCCCTGGTGACGGTGATCTTGTCAGCCTTCCCTGTGCTGGGGGGGGGGGGGGGGGGGGGGGGGGGGAGGGGCTGCACTCCCAGGGTGCCATTGGCTCCGATGTCCAAGGTCGCCTTGATGGGGGGGGACTCCACGTGGAGCGGGAGGGGGGCCACTGAGCTCACAATGCCTCAGGAGGTTGTTGTCTCTGGTCATGGCCCTCTCACCCTCACACCGGGGTCAGTGCCCGGGGCTGGTGGTTTGAGTAGATGGTCAAAATCTGGTCTGTTTGGTAGGGATGGTGGGACGCCTCTGGAGCAGTGTGGTCCTCACCCACCTGCTGTCCCCAGCCCCAGGGAAAGGGGAGCCGTGTCCAGCAACAGGAGACCCTGCACTGTCACACACTTGTCCCCCATCAGCACAGCGGTCTGCCCAGCGGCCCCAAAGCCACAGCCTCAAGGGCCTTGATACTCTTGTTCTCCAGAGAAGTCCTGTAACAAGTTCTGTCCCTTGCGGGTGCGGGGTGGGGATCAGCCCACCAGAGCACAGTCATGGACCTGGCCTTCCTCGCCCTGTCCAGGGGCTGCGGTAAAGATCCAAGCACAGCTCCTCAAACCAGCCTCGAGGGATGGACGTGTACGATCAACACTCTCAAACAGAGTGGCCTGGGTGCAGGAAGTCAGGGTACACTCGGTGCTGCCACAGGCTGGGCGAAGCCTGTGCAAGGCCCACGTGTCCCCGCTCAAGGCCTTCCCGGGCTTCCGTCGGAACTCCTTCACCGAGCGGCTCGCCAGCCTGTGGTCCGAGTCCTCTCCGCCCAGCCTCAGAAACCTCGGAGACACCGGCGTCGATAGTGAGAACGCATACTGTCCAAGGTGCCCCCAGCCAGGTCGAAAATGGGCGCGTTTTGCTCCCTGGCGCCCGCGGGTCAGCCGGCCGGGGACGGTGGCCCCCGTGGGCTTGTTGACGATCCGCAGCCCGTGGCGCCCCGCGATGGCATCGGCGTCCTTGGCGCCCTGGCGCTGCGGGTCCCTGAGGTGGGCGGGCGCGGTGAGCAGTCTCCTGCACCCGGCCGCGCACCGGGGACGAGGCCCCCTCGGGGTAGGAGGCGGCGTCCTGCCGGCGCTGGGACACGCGCGCCCAGGCCCGGCCGCCGGCCCTCGGGCCCTGGAAGGGCCAGTGCTGCGGGTCCGCCAGCACCGCCGCGTCCGCGAACCGGCGCGCGTGGCGTCCAACCCGGTGGTGCGCCCGGCGCTTAGCTGCGCGCGCCCCAGCCGCGCGCGGTCGTGCAGGCCGCCTGGCCGGGCGCGGGGCGCGTGTCCGAGTCGTGCGCGACGGCCGCCCCCCGGCCTCCCTGCAGGACGCCGACCCACGAGCACGTGGTCGGTGCGCACGGCCGCTTCTCTGCTGTGGCGGTGGCCGTGGTTTCTCGCGGCCCCGGGACGCGTCGGACGCCCGAGCCGGCAGGACTCGGGGCGGCCAGGCTGGGCCTCCAAGAGCCGGGCATCCCCGCCGCCGCGCCGCCTGCGGGTTACCCGCTCCTGGCTCGCCGTGGAGGGGAAAGGGCCAGCTCCTCCGCGCCCGCCCGAAGCGCGATCCGAAGCCCTTGAAGGTCGCAACTCCCCACGAGGACAAATGCTCCCCCTGGATGGTTGATGAGCCGGGAGAGCCGGCGTGTCATCATCGCGCCAACAGAGCCTCAGAGGCAGGACTTTAAATACGTTTTCTGTTATTGTTGTTCTGTTTTGAGTCCTAACATTTTTCCGTCTTGGAACATAAAGGCGATATTTCCGAAATGGTGACTCAGCGGGGGCCTGACTGGCATCCAGGAACTGAGCGAGGGACAGAGATGAGGTTAAGGGATGTCGCCCAAAACGCGAGCATTGGTGGTTCAGTGGTAGAATTCTCGCCTGCCACGCGGGAGGCCCGGGTTCGATTCCCGGCCAATGCAAGGTGACACTTTTCTGTTCCGGTCCACTTCAGTTAAGTCTTTTTCTATTCTAGGGTTTGCAACACTGAATTAACCGAAACCAGCTGGAATCGTGCATTCCCTAAGCCAGCCAGCTGAAGCCTGCATTGATCTGATTTGGTTCCCCTCCTTTATCAAGTCCCTTTCCTCTGCAGGAGGGGTGGGGCTGGAAGGAGGACTTGCATGAACTGTGGTGGGAACGCCCGGCTCTTGAGACCTGTCCTTGTCGCTTGCCTCCCCGAGGGGCATCGTCCCAGAGGCCTGCTGGAAAGGCACTGTATTCCAGAAGGAGACTTCCTAGACGTGAGGGTGGAAATGGAGGATAGAAAACAACATGTCCTTGTCATTTGCCGGTCGGGGAATGGAACCTGAGTGTCCCAGGTGTCAGGCAGACACTAACTACTACACTAAACAAGCACAGTGTCACAGGGCATTAAGCTTCAGTAAAGCTGGCTTTTTTGTAATATATTGTTATCTGACTAACTCAAAGGGAACCCGTTTTTAAAAAAAGAGAAACTGAAAACCTGTGCCCCATAAGTGCCTATTTCTGCTCACGGCTGAGACCCCTGTGGAAAGCTCAGAGGGCCTTTAGGAGGAGGTGGGAGTCAGGATGCCAAGGTCAGTCCGGCTTCTGAACTGGGTTTCTTGGTCAACGTCCTCTCCATGCAGTGGTGAGAAGGAGCTTGCAGAGAGAGATCAGCTATACTGGGACCAGTCTGGGAGAGACTGGCTATGCTGGAATGAGTCCAGGTGATCGGTCCAGGAAGGAAGGGAATGTTTGAAGAAGTGTGCAGTGAATGACTTCCACAGTGGAAAAATCAAACCATCCTCAAAAAGAAGGAAGCTATGCTTTAGCCCTAGAAGAAAGAGAAGCTGTCAGCTTTAAACTCATTCACTCTTAGGGTCTAGGCCAGCCACGTCTGGGTGTCACATTCGGGATATTTGTAGCCACAGGCCTGCAAGAGAAGGGTCCTCACCTCAGAAGGAAAGGTGGCCTGGCCTGGGATCCGGATCCCGGCCTGTTCAGGGACTGTCTTGTCCAAACTCCACCAACATTCTCTCCCAGCCCCCAGCAGCTCAAAACCCCACCTACCCGCCCACCCACTTTAGGGATAGGCCTAACGTAAGCACCTCTGTACTTGGCATGAACCACACAGTACCTCACACAGGTACTCTTCCAGTCATTCATTTCTTTACTTTTTAATTCAGGAAGTTCCCATATAGAGGAACTTCTGTTGCAGTGCTATCTTCTCACACGCACTGAAATCTATCCATTTATGTTCAGTAACTTAGCTTGAGTATCTTTAAAAGTAGAACAGATTTGGGGCGCCTGGGTGGCTTAGTTGGTTAAGCGTCCGACTTTCGCTTAGGTCATGATCTCGCGGTTCGTGGGTTTGAGCCACGCGTTGGGCTCTGTGCTGACTGCCAGCTCAGAGCCTGAAGCCTGTTTCAGTCTGTGACTCCCTCTCTCTCTGACCCTCCCCTGCTCACACTGTCTCTCTCTCTCTCTCTCCTAGAAATAAGTAAAATATTTTTAAAAAAAAGTAGAACAGATTTCATTAAATGATAAGTGGACATCGTGACGTGGAGTGATGTTTGTGACCTAATACTGAGCGCAAAAAGCAAGTTGTAGGGGTGCCTATAAGATTTCTGGGCCACCTGCCCCAACACATTTATCAGAACTTATAGAAATTATAGTCAGCATTCCAAGATCGAGAGTGGCATTTCTGAGGCATCAAAGAGCACTCTAAGCTCTCTATGCAAGATCTACAGTAGTTTGAGGTTAAGACAACCTAGGAACAAGGTGAGGAATACGGGTGGGGTGGTTCATGCTTACAATAAGAGATACAGTATCTTCCCCCCATCTCAGAAAGTTATTCATGAATGTTCGGAATTCTCTCCGAGATAGGAAAGTTGAAATGTCTGAGTGTGGGGGCGCCTGGGTGGCTTAGTCGGTTAAGCGTCCGACTTTCGCTTAGGTCACGATCTCGCGGTTCATGGGTTCGAGCCCCGCGTCGGGCTCTGTGCTGACTGCCAGCTCAGAGCCTGGAGCCTGTTTCAGTCTGTGACTCCCTCTCTCTCTGACCCTCCCCTGCTCACGCTGTCTCTCTCTCTCTCTCCTAGAAATAAATAAAACATTTAAAAAATTTAAAAAAAAAAAAGAGATGTCTGAGTGTGATTGTTTGTCAATGGAAAGGAGTACCTTTTTTCTCTACTTTATACATAAAAAAGGGGGAAGGTAATCATAGGACTAGAGTGCTGAAGTCCAACCCTTCATTTGTATAAATGAGGAAACCACAGTCCAGGCCAGAGCTGTGAGTTGAGCCAGGCCATCCCTCTCTTCAGTGTTAAAGCCTAGGTCCCCTTTTACCTCCCTGTCTCATTCTCTCACCTGCACTTATCACTTATAGGTGATCCTGTCCATTTCTCTAATTGTCTCCTTCCGTAACTCCAGGGGATCACCAGATTGAATTCTCCAGGACAGAGACTCTAATAGATACAGAGCCCTTATTTTTGCTGAATTACAAAATGGTAGTAAGATCCTCTCTATAACTCCTAGAACAATGACATTGTTCCTGATCGACTGATCGTTGAATAATAAGGCGTCTGTTTAGTTCTCCTAAAACAAAATCAAGCACTCCTGCCCAATAGGAGAATTCCCACGGGATCAGGATGGCTGACCATCCATCTGCGTTGACCGCAAAAACGTCTATGGTCAGAAATTTTTGGATTTGAAGGGCAGATTTAAAATGTGCTCAGGAGAGAGTACCAAGTATCAAAGTCAGAGAGTTTTTCCAAGAAGATTATGAAGAGGACTTGAGACTTTGAGAGCTAGATTATGCATAAATGGGAGAGTGTTCTAGGCAAATATCAAAGGCAATACCAGTTGCTGTTTGCAAAATAGAGATTGAATTTCCATATTTACTAAGGATGTGGAGAAGGAGGCGTCACCAGATAAAGGACTAGGAGAAGAAGAAACAGCTATCCAGTCAACCTGATGGGATAAATTTGTTGCTAAGCATACCCTTAGAGCAGTGGCGTCCAATAGAAATGTAACATGAACCACATGTTTAAATTCACATATGTAACAGCACACTTAAAATTTTTTTTAAGTTAATTTATTTAGATAGAAACATCATGAATGGGGGAAGGGCAGGGAGAGAGGGAGAAGAGAGAGAATCCCAAGCAGGCTCTGCACCGTCAGCACAGAGCAGGGCTTGAAGCTTGAACTCCTAAAGCTATGAGATTATGATCTGTGCTGAAACCAGAGTCAGATGCTTAACTGACTGAGCCCCCAGACGCTCCTATAATAGCGCATTTTTAAAAGTAAGAAGTAAGGCACCTGGGCGGCGCAGTTGGTTGAGCCACCGCCTTAGGCTCAGGTCATGATCTCAGGGCTTTTGAGTTCAAGCCCCACATCTGAACTGTGCTGACAGCTCAGAGCCTGGAGCCTGCTTTGGATTCTGTGTCTCCCTCTCTCTCTGCCCATCCCCTGCCTTGTGCTCTGTCTCTCAAAAATAAATAAGCATTTAAAAAGTAAATTAAAAAACTAAAAAAAGTAAGAAGTGAAAGTAAAAAAAAAAAAATCATCTCTCCCCTAATGGGGATGGTCCCTCCAGCATTTATGAAACTGTAAGTATATAATTTTTACAATATTTTTCACAATACATCCAGACACACAGGGAACAATCGGTAATGTCAGTATCTATTTTCGGTAAATAATGTCAGCAGATACCAGACACCCAACTCCACTTCCCGTGCGCTGCTCGCAGGTGGAAGAGGCAGCCCTCGGTCTTCCGGGTTGGAAAAGCCCTCTCCGAACTCCTTCACGCTCCTCCCACCCCCGTTCAGCCCACAGCCTATCATGATCCAAGAAGGAGGGAGGTCATGTGATGACCAATGACCAATCAGATGCCGCCTTTGAAATTAAACCGAGGGGCAAACACTTTAGGTAGATTACGGCAGGTACTTAAATTGAAACGGTTTATCAAGTCAGAGCACGTTAGGGTCATGTAAAACAAGCCATCTGAGAGAAGGAGAGGGTGAGGAAGGGAGGATGGAAGGGGGCGAGAGTGAGAGAACAAGAGAATGAGGGAGTTGGTTGAAATTGGAGAGAAGTAGAGGAAAAAGCAGGCAAGAGTGGTCATGTCTCCGAATGTTGGCTTCCCAAACACACTTCCGGTTTCGCTTTCAGCCAGCTCACAGCACGCCTGTTGGGCTGTCGTTGGACAGTTTTGCGGTTTCCTCTCATCCCTTACAGTCTTTCTTTAGTTCATCTAGTTCGAGTGGGTTTTGTTTTCTTGTAACCAACATTCATCTCTAGTTGAGGACAGTCATTAATACCACAGGGAGAATCACCTTCTCAGGTTGGTAGTTTCATCAGAGAGAAGATCGAGAGCGCTGGGCAGGCCAACAATTAGGGAGGGGGCGAGTGAGAAGAGAGGGTAGCTTCAGGGAAGGTTTGGAAGGACAGAAATAAAAATCAATTAACTGACAATTTTGCTGAGGGCTCACCTCATTCCTTTTGATGATTGGATAGCTATTTTCTTCTTCAATTAAAAAAAAAGACAAGAATTCAAATAAATGGTTTACATGTATGGACTTCTGTACTACAGCCCACCTCCACTGTAATTAATGTGATGTTCTCGTCGTAACTCCTTATGTGGCCTCACTACACACTTCAGAGCTGGGAGGGCAGGAATAGGTATCCGATCCGTCACAGGGGTGGGGAGCTTGATTCCATTCTTGTTCCTTAACCGTGGAAGGTTTCCCCTGGGGGTCTGTATCACCGTAGCCGCCATGCCACAAAATAAGGAATATGGCTGCTGTTTTGTTTAAAGTGGGATTGCTTGATTTCTCATAAAGTCGTACATCTGTTCTGTAGGGTATTTGAAGAGGGGAGATTCGGGGCCTTCTTCAAAACGAGATATTAAGAAAAGCACATATAAAATTATAGATTTTTAAAAATGTTTATTTATTTTGGATTACAGAATCCAAAGCAAGCTCCAG